TTCATTATCAACCCAGTATTTAACAATTTCTGTATTTTTGTTCATTCTTTGAAGGGGAAAATGCAACTTTGTTATGTAATAATTACATAATGGTCATAGACTTGTAAACTCTTTTCTGTTTGTGGTGAAGAACAAAGCATATACTCTCCACAGATAAAAAATTGGTCGCCAAGCTTATTCTTTTAATGATGAAATTCTGGTTCAAAAGATGCACAAAAAACTGCTTCTAAAGTGCTCTGTGTGTTATTCTTGACTGCTCTGGAGTAAGGGAGATAAATGCTTCATATCTTCAGAAATAAGGGGATTTAGATCACCAGACTTAAGGATGTTGGGGACAATTATTTAACGAATCTCAGGTGCAAAAATGGAAAAAATCGAACACCTTCAAAGGCCCTTCAAGGTATCACACCGGTAATTGACCAATCAAAATGAACTTAGTCAAATGTAGGTCCATATATATAAAATTGATTTTCTTTTCTTTTGAGACGTTTTTCTATTTTCTTTCATGCCATTTTTACAACTTTGGTACCTGTGCCTAGTAAATTTTATGTACTTTGAGAATAAATAAAGGTTTTTGACAGGAACTATTTTTTTCATGTCATAGGAGGCTACTTCCCGTAGTGCACTCGAGGTGTTTATAAACACAGTGAAAACACGTGGATTTGAGGGTAGCCGTGTTTGCAGATGGAAAAAGTCCGAAAATGCCGTGTGGGTACCCTGTTTTTTGGTGTCAGCTAATGTGACAGGTAATGTTTAACACCTCCTGCTAAATATTTTTTCATGTAAACAAATACCCGATTTTTAACGATTTTTTATTCTATATAGAATTATATAGTGAAAACAATTACCGGTGTGATACCTGAAGGTTAACGGAGTATGGAGGTTTCATGACGGAGCACCCTTCATCCACTTCTGTCCACTGGTAGCATCGAACGGCTCCATAGAGACCCGACTCAGATCTATGACAAAGGATGACTTTAGATGCTACGACAATGTGCCCGAGGCCCAATATAATTATATTTGTGAACTGTAGAGACGAAATATACAGCGGTCTGATTGATTTCATGTGTTTTCTAGTTAAAATGCCCTCCCCTCGAACTCATTATTATCAGCTGATTATTTAACCAGAAAGAAGAAGGATATGGAGATAACGAACAGTATTCAATCTCAAAGTCAGTCAGCATTTGACTCAATGATATATACATGTAAACTGTATTTGCTGAAATGATGGTACATTATTTTAGGCAAAAAACAGTGTCATTTGATGTTGATATGAAATGTATTATGCCTAGATTTATCAATAAAATATAACTCTTGACGTAGAAAGAATACATGTGACTTTATGCAATGTATTGAATTAAACAACAAGCATAAATGCCTATGATCGTTCTCCCCATAGCTCGTGGGTTTCGTAATCGAAAAAAAACTTCTTATACATTTTAAACAGTTACATACTCTAATTTATTCATTGAATCAAAATGTTATTCTGTCCCATTGTGAAACAATGGGATCACAGAAAGGAATGAATGTTAGATATATGATCATTTTCTGAATATATAATATAAACGTTATAATTTTCCTCGGGGAAAATGAATTTACGTGGCTGGATAAATCTTTATATTTTTCCTACCATCGTGCAATAAATAAATTATTATGAAGGCTTCGCAAAGAACTTCTCAAAACTGAAATTAAATCAAACAACTACTCATGGGAAAACGATTGGATCAGAACATTGAATAAAGAGGGTGTTCAGTTCTTTTTTTTTTTTTTTTTTTTTTTTTCCTAAAAGTGTAGCAGATTAAAAGAAGATTTTTTATGTTGCAGAAACTCGTAATATTTTTTTTTCAAATGCAAAAATTTATAAAGCATAACTAGAAACAATATTTGGAAGCTGCGTATTGACTTCCAATTTGCCATTAAATGATGTGAAAATTAGTCCCACGGCAAAATATATAAGATGTTCCGTTATTTTAAAAAGGTTATCACCATTGTTCTGAAACAATGCCTCCTTGAAATAGAATAATTTTGATATACATGTATACACAAAGAGGCAGGAATTTTCTTCAAAACATCCATTTCCGATTTTTGTTTCAAAGAGGCACACTATTGAAAAACGCAAATATTGAGTAAAAATTATTCTCCTACCGAAAAGCAAAATGTGAACATTAAACAACACCGTAAAACCATCGTGTCCGAAATGGTCTAGTGGATATACTGGTGGACTCCCGGGACTTCCGATTTGCTGTCAGCCAAGAGTGCACGGATTGATTTCGTGGAGCTAAAAGCAAATTCTTTTTTTTTGTTAAAATGTAGGTAATAAGCTTCTAAAGGGGAGCTAAGTTGATTTGTTGTATATAATGTACATATAAGACACTGCAAGCTGTTTCTATCCTTTTCTTTGACTTTGAGTCAATAAACGGCAGGATGGCTGAGTTATGTCCAAGACACGATGTAGTTACGATATCGACACATTACTTTTTATAGTTTACTATAATACTTCTATATTCTCATGTGTTTGTTACAATACTTTCTGTTTTAATACTATTTCCTTAATGTTAATATCTTCGATATCGTGCCGATATCGAATCATGGTTGCTCCAAGAATTGTGATTTCCATCCTTAATATGGTGTTTTTTAAGAACTGTTACTTAAAAATTTCTTTATAAATCTTTCCCTGATGTGTCGATATCGTCGATATCGACGATAGTCACGATATCGCTTCGATATCGAATCATGTTTTGCTCAGCCCTTGGTAAATACCTTCCCTGTTTCTATGAATGTGTATATGTTTAAATACTTTACTTTTACGATGATATTACCTGCCATCGATATCGGCGATATCGTATCGATATCGAATCATAATTGTTAAGGGCATATTACTTACCAATCTTCACCCTAATACAAAAACTTTATTTTTACATCACTTCTGTGTTTAACAAGTTTACTTTACTGTCGATATCGTCGATATCGACGATATCGTATCGATATCGAATGTCATGATTGTTAAAACATTTTCAAGAATTTTCACCTTAATCCAACATCTTACTCAAAATCTAATCTAAAACAATAACAACCCTAGAATTTTCTTAATCATACTAATTTATTTTTATATTCATGACAATAAGAAATCAATTTTGACTTCACTTGTGACTTTCTTAAATTCTGTTATACCTCAATGTGAAAATCAATTGTGCAAATAGGATCGATATCGATACGATAACGTCATGATATTGTCGATATCGACGACATTGACATAATATAGAGTCTCAAATACGGCACCAGGTATTTCCAATAAATAGTGTTCACCATGATCGATATCGATACGATATCGACATAATATTGTCGATATCGCCGATATCGACATCGGATTTGTTCTTGGACATGTATGGGATGGCTGCCAAGTCGAGTGGCGGCCATGAAGGGGGATCTCATAATAACACAAAGTGAAAAGACTTTAATGTCGTGAAAACACAATAACTGTAGATGTTTAGATAATGGAAGATTAAACCTGATAATATTATCAAAGAATTCGACCCACAAAATGCCTTATTTGGCCTAGCAAATATGTAAATTTTGAAAAGGGCATTAGAAAATATGTTTTGGGTTATTATCAACCTAGAATATTGACACATTTCACATGTGCAACAATTTCGTCAAAACCGGATATTACGATGTCAAATTAAATTCTATACCGCAGCATGGTTCGAGGTTTTCCGGAAAATTGCTCGAATTTTGCACAATAAATCGTGAATTTCACGCAGAGCACAGTCGTTACCGCAAAATATTGAAACAGAAAAATAATTATAACTGTTCGACAAATAATTCCCAATGAAAAATATTTTGCGTTAACGAGTGTGCTCATGGTGAAAAAAATGAAATAAAATGTCAACGCGTGTAAAAAAGCTATAATCATGAACCACCCTATTTGTCTTTGTCTTGTATACAAACTTTAAAGGATCAATTAGAAAGGTGTATAATATTGATTATATAAGTGGATAGACACTCATATCACACAAGTAAGAAATTGTCAACTGAATGTTCGAATAAATATGATGGGTTCAGTCTACAAAAATATCCGTTAAAAATGCCGATTTATCTACAGATGTTTTTCCAAAATTAGATTGATTTACAGACAAGTACAATTTTCAACTTACTATATGTATCACTATCGCAAATATAAACTTTCATGTCAATTATTATCGTTGTTTATGACTGTGACGAGTATAAGAAATCAGCCCTCTGGCTGCGGGAAGGACATATATGTCCCCGGCGACGTCATTGATTTTATTCCGTGATATGTAAAGTGATTTTGTAAAACTTTGTTTGTCTGGCACCGAAAAATAGCTAATTAAGAAAACTAAAAATAAAATTTAAAAAAGGTTAGTTCTTTATCTTATTTTTTAATTACAAATTACACTTTCTTTAAATGTAAATTCTTTTTTGAAAGGTTAGTAAACGAGAAATATTATCCATGTATGTTTTTGACATTTTCGTCCGTCATGTAGAAAATAAGTTTTACTATCGGTACTCAACCTTTTTTAGAATTTTGATTTATTCCACCTGTCCATACAGAGAAAATGGTCAATTTCGAAATTATTACATAATGTGGCATTTTAAATTTAATGATGTTTAGTCGACATAAACTATACGTGAAAAGTAACGACGTTGTTACCTATGCACTTACACCTAAAAAAATTCTTTTGCGTTTTGTTTATGCCTGTAATAAAAATATTAAAACATTACTTTAATTCTGATTTATTAATTCTTCAATTAAATATAATAAAACTATTATACGATTGATAGATTGCTTTGCTATTAAATAAAAGTTGATTACTGTCTGTACGTTTTTATAGTAAAACAACTTTTACAGGAATGATTTTAAAGGCTTCAAATTTTGTGCGAAATTTCCCGTAAAATTTCAAATTTACGTCATTTTTTTTTAATTGTTTACGTCATTTCTATTAATTAATTACGTCATTTTTACGGTGCTCTTTGATATCATGGATTCTGCATCGGAAAATGAATTCGATTACGAGTTCCAAACAGATGATGAGTCTGAAACTGATGACGAAGAAAATCCATTCATTGAGAGATTATGGACAAATGTACGGTATGTCGAACACTTTGAGTACCCACATGAAATTAATTCTTTCTGTCGCCGTATGGGTCCAGTGAGCCCCCCGGGGGTTGATGCCTCTCCTGTTGAGTATTTTCACAAATTAACAGTTCCAGAAGAAGGGAGAAATTTAATTGAAATTTTGGTGGAAGAAACAAATAGATATGCGGATCAGTTTTTATCTAATCCTCAATATAGTCCTAAACCATACTCAAGAAGTCTTCAGTGGTCTGAAACAAATGTTGATGAGATGTCTGCCTACCTAGGTTTATACTTATCTATGGGTATTTTACGGAAACCCAGTATAGAGGCATACTGGCAGAATTCCGAACAATCCTTTCTTTTCCGTACACCTGGATTTGCTGAAATCATGACGCGAGACAGGTTTCAGATATTGTCAAAATTTCTTCACTGCAATGATAATTCAATGCAAGTACCACGTGGAAATGACAATTATGATCCATCACACAAGTTTAGACCTATTTTGGATCTTCTCAACGAAACATTTCCAAAGGCATATGACTTAGCTCGAGATCTAACCATTGATGAAAGCATGGTTGGATTTAAGGTATAAAAATATTAAAAAACTGAAAAAACTCATTCATAAATGTGGAAATATGTAATATTAATCATATACATGCACGGCATTTCATATATTTTTTTAATCCAAATGACGATATACACAGTTATTTTTTTTTTACATTACAAAGGGTAGAAACGACATTGTGCAGTATGTACCGGCCAAAAAGTCGCATCAGTGGGGAGCAAAGTTGTTTGTGCTGGCAGAATCGGACACAGGCTACAATGCCGCAATTCAATTATATGCAGGTTAATGATAGAGCAAATTTTTAATTTACTAGTATTATATCGTTTGCTGATCAGGGGCGTCCAAGGCATATCCAATCCCAGCATTTACGATGTCAAGACAACTTTCTTAATAAAAAGACAATAATCAGATCCAAAAAAGTACACTCTCTTGGTCGAAAAAACATTCATCGCCAAATATATCACATAAACAACTCTTATTTACCCTCTTTGTTAATTTTATTTTCTTGACAAATGTCTAGAAATCTCCTTTGATCACATTGTTTTCTTTAAATCAGATATTAAATCAATTCACACAAAGAAATTTGAGTTCATTGCATACTATAAAATATAAAATACTGATAAACAAAATTTCTTCAAAATCTGTGATAAAAATATGTTTACAGAAAATACCATAAAGTTTATATTACTACATGGTCCGGTGTTAAGTGGGCTTACTAAATCGCAAATATAGTAATAATTACAGAATTGGCGTTTTTAATGGTTTAGACTATCAAATCTGTTGATAAATACATGTGCATATATTTTCAAAAGATCATAAAAAGTATAGGCATTGGTGTAATTGAGACATTGAACCCAACCTATGCACCTATGGCCATAAAAAATTAATTAATAGTTTCTCAGCTTAAATTTTTTTTAAATTCAATGTAGCAGGCAGGCTTTTTCTTTTTTTTTGAAGCATGTGTTACCTTTTTTTCATGTCAGTCGTTCAACAAAACGATGATATCAAGTGATTCTTACTTATTTTGTTCTCTTATTATTTATAATATGCATTTTACTTTAAATAATGTTATTTCAAACAAAGTTAATTTATAAAATACTGTATTAACAAGAAATGTATTATCTAATAAAAACGTCTATAGCTATTAGCATTTATGAGAAAAAAGTAGAAAATTAATTTATTTCCTTTTTCAATTAATATATCAATAAAATTGATCAATGCGTCAGTGTTTGACCTGATACGGCAGTGCCTGAGAACTATTGATTAATTTTTTGTTTGGCCTAATTCATCATTGTACTAAAAATAGTGGGATTACGAACGTCTCATACGGCCCTGTTCATTTTAAGATTACCTATTAAATTGAAACAAAAAAGGGCATATTTTATTGCAAGTAATTTTAAATCGGTGTATACACTCAGGTAGACAAGAGGGTGCCGCTCGAAGTCGTCATGGTGTTGGATATGATGTGGTGATGCAGTTGATCCAGCCCTATCTGCAAAGATATCACCATTTTGTCTGTGACAACTACTTCTCCAGCCCAGCTCTTTGTTCGGCTCTCTTTGAGGCTAACACTTACATGACGGGCACTGTAAGGGTGTGCAGAAAGGGAATGCCAAGGTCGTTAAAGGGCTTGAAACTACAACGAGGGGAGATTAGTGTAAAGCAAAGTGGGCCTATTATGGCACTTTGTTATGGAGACCGAAGAACCGTAACATTTATGTCCACTCTATCTAAGCCAAAGTAATTTAATATTTCACCATATATAATTAAGATGATAAAATTTCGAAAAAGAAAATGAAAATTCACAGTCATTTCAGTCGTACTGAAAATTTTTTTATATCATCATTATCAAGAAACATCTTCATCATCAATATTTTTTGTTGAAACAAAATCAAATTAGAAGATTTAACAGGCACGTATTATCGATGTTCATTGAAATGGCACCCCCCCCCCCCAACGCACACACACACTCACACACACTTTTTGTTGCATTATAGTTTAGCTAATGGTTATTTAGTAATGTATCAAAAAAATTTGGTTGTGAAAAAACCCATCCCTCATTTTTTCCCGTTTGCCCCACTTTCAAAAATGATACAACGTGCCTGTATAAGGGAGGTAAAAATTTGCATTTGTGTTACAGTGTTATCACAACACAGAACGCCAGAGGAGTTGAAGTTCTTATGCCAGCCGTCAACTACGTGTACAACAAAAAGATGGGTGGTGTTGACCTATCCGACAAAAGCTTAGAACTGTATGACCCAGATATAAGGTCAAACAAAATGTGGAAACGAATACTCTTCAACCTTCTTCTGAGAGTTATCTGTAGGTTTCTTACTAGATTAGAATTTTTACCCCTTCCCCCTTCCTTAAACTTAATGAAAGCCGATTTAGTTAAGTTTGCCAAATATATCTGTCGAAATAAATTTTGATTATAAAGATAATCACTTCTTTCTATTTAGAAAAACGGTACTGTGAATTTTCTTTCGCTTGCAATATAAGCCCCCCCCCCCTTAAAAAAAATCGAGACAAGTCCAATCATTTTTCATTTTCTAATGTATATAACACTGTTATTAACCGAAGCAAATATTTTAAAGCTAACGCCTACATCATATACAGACAAAATAGAGGTTTGCGCACTAAAATGGACAGGATGGACTTTCATATGGGCGTTTGCTTGGGCCTGATCGGAAATTTTCGCCAACCTAGGCGCTTTCCAGGAAGGCCCAGCCTGTCCACTCAAACAAGACTGACAGAGAGGCACTTCATAGAACAGCTTGATGGTATATTACATGCATCAATATTACTTGTTTATTAACTTAGTTTTAATAATATGGTGTTCAAGAAACACCTACATGTAGATCGTCAATTTTTTAAAAAAAATTCCCATTCTGCAGTTTGGCTCTCTGAAATCCCCAGCTAATTTTTTTTCATCTGATTTTCAGGCAGAAAGAAAAATCTGTGTGATCTGCAAGAGTAGAGTGAGAACTTGGTGTGCCCCCTGCAGCGTCGGGCTTTGCATTACATGCTTTAAAACTTTCCATACCACTAGACATTATGAAGAATAAAATGCTCATCAAAATTGTCTAATTGCATATTTGTTGTTATATCTCGCAAAACATAAACAAATACGCTGATAAATTTTCCTCGTCGATTTTGTCAGTTTGTCATTAACAGAACATGGTTCACAGTTTTTACATCAATTATTAATTAATATTATTTGATAATTAATAACTTAAAAATACAGCGACTAACAATAAGCAGGAATAATTGCATGATTTGACTACTAAAGCGTTTACATCAAAAACTTTTTTAAATCAAAAATTGAAAAGCAAAAGCATTTCTTGTGACACGATAGCGGCGTTTTTCTTTGAAGTTTACTGTTCTGTATTAGCAATACAGAACGGGACTGTGGTGGGCGGAGCTACTTTCCGTTCTGTATTAGCCCTGTATACAGTATTGTATTTGCCAACTATTCTGTATCTAAAATACAGCACGGTCTAAAAATAAATCTGATTCAATTTAGCAAAAGTACGTACAAATAGTAAATGGTGATGCTTTCCTATGATACATTTTGGAGAAATACCCGGTATTTTCCTGAGAATGTAAAATGTCAAAATTTCTCAATCACTTTTTAAAAACTTATTCCACACAGAATCTACGTAATCTAATCCAAAGTAAAAGGAAAATTCGCAATAACGGAAAACATCCTATGTACGTAATTTTGATCCAAACTAAACAGAAAAGTCGCAATAACGGAAAATATCCACTCTCGTGCAAAATCATTCAAGTCCATTTTTTTCCGAGTTTTAATAATTTTTTTTAAATCCTTCTCGCTGACGACAGCCACACGTCTTTTTCACTTCGTTGTTTATGTCGCAATTCAAATTGAAAATAAAAATCCGTGACCGCGTGACATCAAAGTTCATCGAAGAATATATTCTGTAAATCCAGTTTTTGTTAATCTACGTAAAACGGGATTTTAAGAACCCTGAAATAAATTATGATAAATCTCCATCTACAACAGTAGATCAATAGATCACAACAATGACGGTTAAATCCTCCAATTTATCCATTAAAACTGACTATCACTCGATTACATCTTCCCCATTAAATTGTCAAAACTAATCTGACCGAATTTTACGTTTTCCGTGGAAATATATACTGCCGATGCGTATACTCCCCGTCGGGGCCTCATCTACAGAAGTCTGGCGGAAGTTTGGATGATGAAAAGTTATAAAGTGGGCGGAGCTATTTTTGATTGATCGTGTCACAAATCATCTAGAGAACTCGACAGGTTCTGTATCGTAGATACAAATTTGGGGGTGGAGACTCGTGCTGCGCACTCGTATCCATCCCCAAATTTGTATCTACGATACAGAACCCGTCTTTCTCTAAATAATACTTAATTCAAGTTTAGTCCAACGTGCCAATAGACATACATTTACAGGAAATTGTGGTTATAGTTCCCTGTGCTGAAATCGGGCCACTTTTGATTCTTGTATTACTCATAATAAGTATTATTTAGAGTACGAGTTTCCTACTGTATCGGAGATACAGGGCGGGGCTTGAGGCGAGAGCGATAGCTCGAGCCGGGCCCCGCCCTGTATCTCCGATACAGTAGGAAACGAGTATTCTAAATGACTTGTGACATGACCTTTCTAATGACCTCACTAATTTACATGCGTATTTGGGAACATATCACTCAACCAGTCAGATGATTTTGCAGAAAGTTGATTTAGTATTCCATTTTAAGCATTCGCAACTGAAATGCCGAGTGATCTGGACGTGCAGGTATTTATCATTTTAAAATAATTATTTAGGGGATGCATAATATAATTTGTTCTCCAAAAAAATTAAATTTAGATTTCATTACGTAGTGTTTTTTTTCTCTTTTCAGCTCTTGCTGACATTTTTTTTAATTTAAGCCACGACTTAATTAATGCAAAATATTTTTATATATAAGAATCATGCAGAATATTTCTGAGAAAAATGTCCGAGAAATGTCCTCTGGTCGTCAATATAAAATTGAAATAAATAGATGAAAGGAAGGGGACCCACCCATATTTAACTTCATGTTTTAAATAAAATGTAGTGTAACCAAAGGGGATCCGAGCAATCACTGGTGCCCCCCCCCCCCCCCCCCCCCCCCCTCCTATCCTCCTTGATTTTTTTTTCGCTTTCGTAAATGATTTTTGGTAAACTTGTATACATACGCTTTTTGATTTATCAACAAGTAATTAATGATATCACGCACATAGTGTCTTGTTTGGTTATAAATCTAACCCCACGAAATAAGATTTCCACTGATTTTTTTTTTTTTTGTGGGGGGGGGGTGTTCAAAGTAATCAGTTGTGAACTGCCCCACTCCCTCTTTTCTTAAATTTTTGAATCCGACACTAATAAATTTACATTGTAAAATTTTATTTTTAATTCACCTCAAATTTTTAGTAAATACTAACAGTGCTATCATGCGAATTGAACGATTTTGTGTCTGTCTATACAGATACAGCTTTCCGTCATGGCTAAAAATAAACCGTGCTGTATCGTTGATATTTTGCAGATACAGCTACAGTTTCTGTTCATTTGCATAAGAAACGCCCACAAAAAGTGTTCTGTATCGCAGTTACAGTAAGCTTGACTTCAAAGGAAAACTCGCCGGGTCATGTCACAATGTTCAATTATTGAAGATTATTTGTCAGATCTATACTAGATTTCCTTTATATGGTTCAATGGTTCAATATTTAAAACGCTTAACTAATTATCGATAATGAATAAAATAATTATTAACATATGGTGTCCGATTTTGTAATTAAAACTTTCTTCTTAATCAACCATGAGTGCTTATCGGGGTAAAAATAATACATGTATTATGATTAAAAGTGAGTCAAAAGTATTTAATTATAAAGAATTTATAAATTTTTATTTGACAAATGAATAGCTTTTCACGTACGCTTGCCTATGCATGACGCGCACTTTGCGTTAATCGGAAATATCTAAAATTCCGCTAAAGAATGTAAAAGAAATTGTGACGTCGTTTTAATCTCGCAGTGACGTTATAATTTCTGTACACTGACGTCGCAGCCAGAGGGTTAGAGAACAAATTTAAATTTTTGTAATCAAGAATCGGTAGTTTTTTTAGAGTGACAGTCAGTCACTTATTGGGACATCGAATAACTAGATAACACACATGGTGATAGAAAAAAAGCAGTCAATTGTTCATTGCAGGCAATAAATGTGGCAAAAAATTTAAAAATTACATTTCTGAAATCAAAGGAAAAAACTTATGAGTTCACAGTTGTACATGACGTTACTCGGTGTACGTCATTTGTGACGTCACAATAGATGCAGTCATTGGGAATCAGTGCCATGGGGAATTTTTTTTTTATATTTACATTTGCCAATGTCTTTCCTTATATGACATATACTAAAGAAATGACATTCAATTTTGCATGACATGAAGTCGGTCACATGATCAAACTTTTCTTGCGTATGAATACAATTCACCGCTTCAGAAGTATTTGGGTCAATGGCACTACTTTCACCTGATTTCTTGCTTACGCAACATCATTACACCAATAATAAAAATAAAAACAAGCCTAAAATGATTTAAATAGAGTTTATTTTGTAAGTAGACAAGAATTTCATCAATTAATAAAATGTATGAAACATTTAACATACCATTCCTGATGTTTTAATTTAAATACCGTCTGCAACTAAACTGCATCTTCTGCAATGGCAAAGACATACGGTGACTTTGATGTAGGCCTACTAAGTAAAGAAATGGATGCAGAGCTATATCTACTTTATGATGAAGATATTTTGGCTTCATTGGATCTCTCCTCTCTGGTACCTGCAACTGAACAAGATACTGAAATGATTTACGAGCTCAAGAAATCAGATATGGAGGGCCTTCCTCCACCGCAGACCCCTGTCTGTGCCCCGGAGTCCAAACCTGAAGCAAAGAGATTTAGATCTATGTCAGAAGTTGAGTTAAAGCAGTTTCAGGATGCCAGACATTCTAAATCTACTAAAAGAAACACAAAGTGGGGAATTCAACTGTTTCAAGGTAAAACAAATAAAATATAAACAAAACCCAAAAAATTAATCAATTAAAAAATAAATTAGAACTTAAACATGATCATAAAAATGCTAATTTGCAACTATAATACCATAAAAAAATCAAAATTAATTTTTAGAATAATTTTAAAATCAAAACATATTTTAAAAAAATACCAAGTGGAAAAAAAGCTTTGAGAAATCCTTAAATAAAAAAAAGAAATTCAAGGTGAAAAAAATGAAAAATCACATTAATATCCATAGGGGAAAAATGAAAACATTTAATGTAATATAAAAACTCTTCAATCCAATTAAAAAAAAAATTATACATGATTTTAGATTGGCATGTGGAGGTTTTTGGTACCCCATTGGATTTTGAAAAAGTAGAAATTGATGAACTTGCCAACAAACTAAGAAAATTCTTCTGCGAGGCAAAACCGAAAGAATCAAATAAATCAAAATATATGATGGATGCTCAAAGTGGTTATTACCACAAAAACACACTGAAAAATATCAGATCAGCAATAAACCGCCATCTGCAGGACATAGGTCGTTCCATAGACATTGTGCGAGATAAGGAGTTCAAGTCCACCAATCACACATTAGACGGAATGTTGAAAACTATGACCAAAATTGGCGCTTCGAGACCCACTAAACACAAAGACATTATAAATTCTCAAGATCTTCAGAAGATATCCTCATATCTGCGCGCAGCCACTTTTTCTCCACTTGTCCTTCGACAGTGTGTTTGGTATCACCTATCCATCCACTTTGTAACGCGCGGCTTGGAGTTCCATCATCAGTTACGTCGTGATTCCTTTCAGTTCCACTATGACGAGAATGGTCTCGAGTATGTCACATTGAGGCAGGAAACGCAGCAAAAAAATTTTCAGGGTGGCATAGAATCAGAGGAAGCTCCGAGTGACAAGAGGATGTATTCGTCACCTGAAAGTGAGACATGCCCAGTAAAAATGTTGCGTCTGCTGCTGGATAAAACAGACAAAGATGCATCTTTTCTATTCAACGCGTGCATAAAAGAGGCTCTTACCTTCTTAGCTTCTAGCTTAGCAGTCTGGTATGAAGCAAAACCCCTCAGTAAGAGGACATTCAGTGGATTTATGGCGGACATCTCAAAATCAGCTAAATGTTCCATTGTTTACACACCCCATTGTCTGCGGGCAACTGCCATTACGGCCATGAGCGAGGCTGGTTTCGAGGCTCGACAAATTATGTATATGTCAGGCCACCGCTGTGAGTCTTCTTTGCAATCCTACAATAAAAATCTATCCAGTGAACAAAAACTCTCTGTTAGTTCATGTTTATCTTCCCTTACGCACCCTAAAGATCAGAGAAAGCAACCTACCTCCACTACGACTACATGCAGGCCTAAATCTGTCGGTGGGAATGCCACAGCCACGAGTCCTGGCGATGAACATGCCATCGTACCTTTCCAAAACGTGGAAAATCATGACCAAGAGCTAAATGTCAACATGATACACCCGTCGTCTGTCAATTCTCTCCGATCATCCGAGTTTTTATCTAAATCTGTGTTCAACAACTGTGTTTTTAACTTCAAGTGAAGTCCAAACGTTTTTCTCCAAATTTGAACTGATGACCGGATCACAACCCGGAAACTTACGCTGCACTTCTTGTATTCAATTGAGTTGACTTAAATATGTAAATAACTTTTGTTTCACACCTATATTATCATCAAGGTTACTCAAAAATTAAATATTTGATTTTGACATTGTCTTAGTTATTGTTCTCTATAATTTACTATAAAAAAATTAAGCGAACTATATTTTTTGGTGTCCGGTCTTTATTTAGGTCATTTTGCTTCAAGTATGGAACGTCGGTAGAGACACACAAAAAAAGAAAATATAAATATAAGAAATAAAATATCAGTTTTAGAGTTTCATAGGGTATGACATGAAGTGGTACGTGATCAAATTTACTATATGGCCCTTCGGGCGTTATAGAATTTGATCACGTGACCGACTTCATGTCATACCCCAATGCAACTCTAAAAATGATATTTTATTTCTTAAATACATGTAGTTTTCTGTCGCTTTGTTAAATTCATTTAATTGAAACGGGAAATTATCTATTATTAAAAAATTAACAACTCTGTAAACTGGATTCAACGTAGAACTCGTGTGTGTGTGTGTGTGTGTGTACATCAAATGCACATGACAAATCCCCACGTCGATGCATACAATGCATGTATTTATGTAAGTATCGCATGTAGGAGCAATATATATATTAATCAGTTTTTTTTTAATTTCAAAACCTTCATTTCACTACATAAAACCCGCGTAGATAATTTGTTTGCACTTGCATAAGAACGTGGAAAATAATTTTTAGCTTTCTTCAAAAGTATTATGAAGAAGTGGTTTCAATTTTGTTTTCAGAAACAAGAGCTGAATTTAAAATATATGACCCTAGATAGTGTTTATTATTATTATGGCTTAGCCTGGGGGAAAAGGTGGAGTAGGTAGACTATGTCTTCCTCTGCGTTAAATTATCTGAAAATCGCTGGATTCGCTACTACGAAGATTGGTAGGTTATCACTATACGATTAGAAGAGGTCGGAGGGGGGGTGTCCATGCTTCCATGCTTTGACATAAATTATGCTTCAAACTATACTTCAAAATTATTTAATTTACTGTTACATTTTCTTGAAAAAATTATTTTTAAAAGATAGAACTTTGTATATGTTCGTCCTTTGTATATCCCACACCTTTCTTTTTTGAAATTGCTTACTACGACAATAAATGTGTTTTCTATTTCAAGAAATACTGAGAGGATTTTACACTTTCCTCTTATCCTTTTTTTTGGGTAAAATCAATCTTCTCCTATAAGTATTAGTAACATGTTAATGTCTGTACTGACACGTATTTATAAGAATTACATAAATTATATACGCATGGAAATCATAGTATGAAAATGAAATGGGAAGTGATAAATGATAAGCTAGCAATGCACAAATAAAAAAAAACATAATAAAATTATTACATGTAAGTCAATCGATAACAATGTATTAACAACACACTACAAATACCGTACTCCATTACAGGATTAAACATGACCCAGCGATTGGCTGGTTCGCGAAGATGAGATAAAATATCTGTGAGATTGAGGTGTGCGCGAATCTCGCGGATATTTCTCGCTTGTCTGTGAAAATTGATTAACAACTGAGACCCTAATATTCGCGAGTCCTTTGCTTGCATAAAATTGGAAAGCGTCCAACGGTGAAAAGCTATGTTTGATTGTCGGAAAGCGTTGTTCACTTTCTGAAAAAACAAACAAACAATAAAATAATTTTTTAGCATGTGATATATTCCTTACGCAGACGATACATGAACATCATTCGATGGCGCACACTATTTCATTTCATCCTACATGTATGTCTGCCGATTTCCTATTTAAGGCATTTTACACTTTTAATTAGGTGTTGTTTTTTTCTGTGCGACTTTTCAGCGCATTAAAACATTTTTCACAAGTGCGCTATTTCATTGAGTTGGCAAACACAAATTTAAAACGGGTGAATTACTGGAAAAATCATGTAATTGCCCAGCTGATAGCGGACAACTTGTTATTCTGTAAAAAAAATAAAAAAAATTCATAATCATAGGTGGTAAAGCACGTAAAATATCGGATTTATTCAAAAGTTTACTGTTTTATTGTCAATACTGTCAAAAATATCATATATGTTTTAAATGCATCTGTGCTACTGCGTTCCCATTTCAACGGTCGTCGTGGCAATAAACATGCGACCAGAAAAATCTAGATCTTTGTTCTTTTTTGCGGGAAGTGCAATTTTTATACTGTTATGATGAATGTTATTCATTAAAAATATTACTTATAATTCATGTTAAAAAAAAAAATTAATGTAACAACATTTACCAAATCTAAGTACGTTTTATTTTTATTGGTGCATTGAAGAAAGAAAACGAGAAACGCCAACGGTTGTGTTCATGTGCACCTGATATACATGTAACATGACAGGACTGCTG